TTACAACATACAGGAAAATCACACAGTACCAGGAATCATGGCCTAGCCAAACTGACACACACATTTTTTGGGGGACATAATTCAAACCATGACACCCACCAACCAGGCTTAAAATCTGTATCCACCCCTAACTAGTGGGACTAGTCACCTCTCACTCACACAGAGAGGTGCACAGGCTCCCCCAAGTTGTGTTACAAAACATGCAAACCGAGGTCCTTCCCTTCAGAGCTGCCTATTTAGGATCTCTCAGATTCATGCAGTCAGCCTCAGTTCACATGCCATGTCTTCCAAGTGGGAGGGAGCTGTGCCCTCCACCCCACTTTCTGTACCCAGAGCCAATGCAATGCTCTGACACCCTCCCTGCAGAAGGGTCCCTCCTCCTCTCCACACTGCTGCTGCTTACTGCTCTTGTGGAATGACTGGAGTTCTGCTTTGGAGCTGTGGTGCAACTGTTCCTCTGGTTGTGGCTGTGAGTTCTTCATCTTTTCCTGGAACAGACACACAGATTCTGTCTGTGCTTGCTTCAGATGGGTATTTAGAGAACCCAGTACTGATCCTGAGGGTGCCTCTGAGGCACCTCCTGTCCCTGTTTGGGACTGGAAGTGGTCAGAATTCTGTAGGAATTAAAACTTAAACATCCCAAAACACACGAAGCAAAGGGGAAATCAGTCTTATGCAAATCCCCACAGCAGCAGTAAGGAGTGTGGATATGTGGAAAACCTCAGAGAGACAAGGTCTGAACCCAGGCCCACTGCAACCTGCCCACCCAGCTCGCCTGGGGCTGCTGCTACCTGCCTTGCCAAACCTCAGGCAAAACTGAAGAAAACCAACCAATAATTCAGTTATTTTGCAGTAGGATCCAAAGGCTCAATAATGTCAATAAAGACCAGTGAAGCCCTTGCTCCAGGCTGGCTGCTGCAGAAGGACAGCTGTTCTCCAAAAAGAGACCCCCTGTCACACATGATCCTCCTTGATCAGAGTGGTGCTCAAGCCATTGTAAGCTATTTTCTTATTTACCAGCAGGGACCAACGCTCAGAGTAGACATTGTGCATTCTCTGAAAGGTAAGTCTGAACTGGAAAGTTGTAACTACCAGGGCCAGGGAATAAGCAAATCCCATTTTAGACACAAACAGCAAAGTACTGTACATCACCCACACTGCTGGCAGTCTAAGGTGGTTCTGTCTCTCACATTCCTCTATTTTAACTACTCAGAACTAAATTCCCATATCTCACCTGCACCCTCTGCCTCCCAGGTTCTTTCTGCAAGTCTTCCACCAGGGCCACTGCCTCCTCTCCACTCTCCGGATGCTGCTGTCTAACCCACATCTGGATCTCTTGTGGAAGGACAGTCAGGAACTGTTCTAGGACTAGCAACTCAAGAATTTGCTCCTTGGTACACTTGTCTGGTCTCAGCCACTGACAACAGAGCTTCCGTAGTTGGATAAGGGCCTCCCGGGGTCCTGATGTCTCTTCATAGTGGAAATGCCAAAAGCGCTGGCAGGGTGTCTCTGGTCCATAGTCGTTCCTCTGAAGGGAAAATTCCTGCTCCCAGTGGAATCTTCTTCCAGCTTCTCTACTGGAAGTTCTTCTTGTACTTGAAGAGTCTGGATTTGTTGGTCCACAGCTACAGCCATTGTTCAGTGCAGAGAAGAACCTCACAACTGTGCTCTGAAGCCCAAACCTCTTCTTTTACCTCACTGGGAAGCCACTTCAGATAGGAGACACTAACTGGAACTTCTCTTGAAAATTCCAGCGCCAGAGACATTAGAAAGTGAACACTAGTGAAATTCACAAGTGTTAGCCCAGCAAAATTGAAGTCTTCCTGTTCTCCCCTCTCCATTCTCCAGTATGGTGGAGTCTGGCCCTCTGTCACTGGATAGCCAGCTCCAGTGATGGGAGGAGTCAAGGGCTGGTGATCAGGTTGGAAAGGAGAGGTGGAAGCTTTGTTTGCATAGCAGTTTACATAAGGCTAAGAAAATGCCAATGATCCATACCGAAGCATGAGGATGGCCTGAGTGAGTTTATGAGGACATAAACTTTCCACCCTCCAAAGCCACTGGACTTCAGAACTATAGGGTGTTGCAATGTGAATGCCCAGTACTGTTCTGAGACGGTGCACAAGGGAGCAGCACCTTGGAGAGCAGCACCCGAGTGGAGCGAGTCTCTAAGCTTCAGAGGTTCAGCTGCTCCAACCGCTAAGTTGCCCTCGCCAGTGGCTGGGTTTCAGCGTTGGGCGCCCCATTCAGGATTCCTCAGCACCGGCATCATAACCCTCTTCCAAAGAGGGAGATTCACTCTGGTTAAGGTTACAAGCTTTAAGCACAAAGATAATAAAAACAGACTCACACGGTGTTAGAGCTGGAAGGAAAGTTAAAGAGATTCTCTGGCCCAGCTTCCTCAAAATGGAGGCAATCACGACTCACAGATCCCAAGGGATTTGTCCATGGTCATTTGTCTGGTTTGTGGCAGGAAAATGGAATGTCGCTCTGCCCTTTGACTATGCACTGGGTGACTGGCCCGCAGAGCATAACTTACACTGGAAGGCTACTCGGTTCCGCGGGCGACCTACCCTGGAAGCTTTATGGGGTAAACGAGAGTCCTGGGGACTGGGGCACCTCGACCGCTACAGGGCCAGAGTCGCCCGGTGCGGGCCCCATGAGTGGTGAAAAGGAGGGCGCAACCAGCACGAGGGGGGCATCCTGCGCGGCGGTCTGCTGGCGGAGACGCGGAGCCTGGGCCAAAAGCGGCAGGACCCTGGGGTTCGGCCGATCACGCCCACCTGGTGGGGGCGGCCACGATCGAGGTGAGAACCGTTCCCGCCCGCCCAGGCCTTGCGGCTGCGAGCGGTGCGGCCCCAAGGCACCTTCTCGCTGGCCTCGTAATGTCCCCACACGACGCCCGAACCCCAAGTCCAAAACCCGACGTCCCGCCACTCAGTCGTCCACCGGACACCGGAAGCGGAAACTGGATCCCCCGACGGATTTGGTTTTTGCGGGAACTACATTACCCAAAGGCCTCCGCCTGTGCCCTCGGACTGACAGCAGCGTCATCCAATAAAAAATGAGAATGTATTTGGCGCTTGTTTGTTTTGGACAAATCATTGATGAGGGGTGGGATTTTCCTACACGTTGGATTTGGAGGTCCAGAGTCAGAAGTAGAACTGAGCCAGGTACGGAGGCTTTGGGTCCTGCCTCTCTTAACCTACTCCCGCAGGAATTGGCGGGGGGGGGGGGGCGGAAGGTGTAGGCCTCTAGCCTTACTCGGCCCTGAGGGCGCCGAGCCAGAGGGTCCTTTGCAAAGCGTTTCCACTGACGGCGGAGGGCAGGTATTTATCCCTATTGAAAAACCAAACCCGTTGCTGTGGAGACCATTCCGACTCATGGCAACTCCATGTGTTAGAGAGTAGAACTGCTCCACAGGGTTTTCTTGGACGTACTCTTTACCGAAGCAGGTCGCCAGGCCTTCTTTTTGAGACACCGCCAACCTTTTGGTTAGCGCTTAGCCGTTTGCGTCACCCATGGATCTTTATCTGTATTATACAGGTGAATACATCGAGGCACTTGAGCCCAAGGTCTGTTAGTGTGGAGTTGGGACTCCAATTCAGATTTTCTGCCACTCAATAAAGTACTTTTCTGGCATGGTTGCCACCTGTGGTAATGCTTCACCACCTCAATCCTTCACGCACTCCACCCTCCCTCGCCAATACACACAAACACACACACCCTGCGTGCACTTGTAAAAAAACAAAACTGATGCCTACGACTCATATAGGACAGAGTAGAACTGCCCCATAGGGTTTCCAAGGAGCAACTGGTGGATTTGAACAGCTGAACTTTTGGTTAGCAGCCAAGCTCTTAACCACTGTGCCACCAGGGGTCCACTGTGTGCACAGTCCTGTATAATTGAGGATGAATACCACTGACACTCATTTATTCATCTATCCATTGTGGGGAGCCCTGGTGGCGCAGTCTGAGCCAGAAGTGCCCCAAGGGGGCAGAAATAAACAAACACTCCCTCTTCTTGGAGCGCAGTCCAGCAGGAGGGTTGCATTTTTAAAAAATGCTGCAATGAACAATTCAAATAACTCCAACGCAGTGTGATAAGTGCTACACGATGGTATGTTCAAAGTAAATGACTCAGAAAAAAGACTGGAGGGGGCTGGAAGCACCCAGGAGGGAAGAAGATGCAGTCTCAGGGAAAGAGGAATGGAAACTACACTTTACTGGGCATCCACTTTACATATTTTATCTGGTTGGGTTCAAAGGTTCCTCCTTCAATGAAGGTGGGTGAAGCTGTGATTCCCCCACAGGAAGGGCAGCCTGTGATTGGGGGAGGGGAGAACAGGATGCAGGAGAGGCTCTCCAGAGAGTCATCCTTCCATTGTGAGGCCATGAGATTCCCTCTGCCCCTCTGACCATAGGAACACAAGTCCAGAGAAGGCTAATGCGGAAACTCAGGCCACACATCACTGACTTTTCAGTCATTCCCTGGAGTCCAGAAATTCCACAAGCTGCCTCAGGAACAGTTTAAAAACCACTGATCCAAGTCCATGTTTATCTCTTCCCAGCAGCCTTCCAGAATGGGAAGAGCAAGTATCATTAATTTTGCAGATGAGAAAAATGAGTCCTCTAGAAGTTAAGTGATTAACCCTAGTCACACCACAAGTCCTGTTTGGCTCCCAGTACTCTACCCAGTACCCCACAAACTTCAGGACAGAGACAAGCAGGAGCTAGTAACTCAAGGGGTAACACCCTATGGGACAATTGAGAGAGACAGACTGCAGTTTGTTTTCAGATCATTGGTATATTTAGAAAAGCATTGTACCGAGGTGTTTGTAGGCAGTATGGAGACAAGGATTTCGAGAGGAATAAGCTTTTCCTCTTAGAAATCAACTAACTACACTTACTCATTTTAAGTGGAGACCAATGTCTCCTAGGCCCACTGGACCATCCATTTAAACAGTAATACTTATTTATCTGCAAAAAAGGGGCATGTTCAGCAGGGAAACCTAGAACAAAGACAGTGGAAAAGACTCTCTTGGGGCTGAAGGCAGTGCTCGTGGGCAGGAAGAGAAGTGGGACCTGGGAACCGCAGCATTCCAGTCACCAAGGGGATTCAGTGCTGGTGTCTGCCTGTCAGTAACAACCCCTTTTTCATTCCATGACGATCAACCACCCTCTGATCAGAAATCCACACTTCAGTCACTTGAGACCAGAAACGGTGCTCTGAATAGATGACTTAGGATAGGAGATCCCCCATTGTAAATAAATAGTAATTGGGGTTCTGGATTCTATTAGTCTCTTGAAAATTTAGTTAACAGGAGCCTGTCACCCAGGGTCTGGTCATCTCTGGGTGTAATGAGAAATCCAGCCTTTGTGCCAGAAAGTCTAGGGATCAGAACTCAGCTGTGGTAATTTGTCAAGATGTGCCACATCCCCCCAACCTCAGCTTCCTGGCAGGCAGTCCCTGCCTTCAGACACCAACAATGTAAACAAGACAGCAGAGATGCTGCGCCTGCCAGGCAGGCCTGTGAGCTATGTTTCAACTGGAGCAAGACCATCCTCTTCCCAGCAGCAGTTTTCCCACAGCTGTGGTGGGCCTGTGAATAGATGGAAAATTTTCAGAGTTGGGAAACTGGGAGGAGTGAGGAGGGAAGGGGGGGAATCAGGTGAGCCCTGGAGCCACAGCCTCTGCTCAGATGCCAGAGGCTTGAGCTCAGTTCCATTAACTACAGGATGGAAAGCCAAAGGGAATTCACCACTGGCCCTCCCTCTCCACCGGAGCTGAAATCTCCTGTCTCAAAACCACACTATCACCTAGCCAATTCTACTTCTACTTCCTCTATGGCCTTAAGCTATTTTATCAAGATGGTAAAAAAAAAAAAAAGAAAAAAATGGAAAGACTAACTTTCTGCCCAACCCATTGCCATAAGTCAGTTCCAACTCATTGTGACCCTACAGGACAGAGTAGAACTGCTTCATAGAGTTTTCAAGGAGCACCTGGTGGATTTGAACTGCCGACCTTTTGGTTAGCAGCTGTAGCACTTAACCACTATGCCACCAGGGTTTCCAGCTTTCTGCCCAGAGATATGAAATAGCCAAACAGGACCAAGCAGTAGAAAGTATGATCAGCCTTTTTATTTGAAAATCTCCAGGGCCGTCTGGGAGAGACTGTGGGACCCTACTGAACTCCCTGGTGATGAGATAGGGCCTCCATCTGGGATGAAGGGCTGGAAAGGGCGATCACTGGTCGGTCACATACAAGAAAGGACCAATTACAGTTGTGGATTATCCTGATACTAGCCAAGGAGAAGACTAAAAGTAGTAGTCAAATATACTGTTTTAAAGGTTTTGTTGTTTTCTCAATTTGTTCCTGGGAGGTGTTTCTTGTGTATTTAATAATGCAGTGGAGCTGACTAACTTCAGGAGCAGAGTGGTTAAGTGACAAGTGCTGGGCAAGGTGCTTCTCCACTTCCTCATTTGCACAGTGAAAATACTTACTTACATCATAGGGTTGTTGTCTGGATCAAATGATATGGATGTAGAGTTTAGTACAGTGCCCAGTGCATAGTAACTGCTCTGTCAATTTTGTCATTTGAAGTTATTATGGCTTCTTGTAAATTATAAATGTGACC